TAATAATTCAAGTAAGAAGTTGATTACCCGAAACGACAAATAATGAGTAATCGATATGGTGATAAATAAAACGTGTTTTGTTTATACTCAAAGGTTTGAGGCCATATGGGATTAGTATTATTCTTGTGTTTCACTTTGCATGTTTTGACTTCCAGAATAATTGAGTTTATTAAGAATAATCGAATTATTCAAACGGGCCACAGTCGTTCATATGTTGGAAGTAGATATGAATGAAGACTGTCGTGAATTGGTGTGTGGATTGTCTAAAAGAGTATTAGACATAAGCAAATGTTTGCTGCAACGTTCATGAGTGCTTATGAATATGATTTGAGCATTGGATTAAACCCACGCTCACTTGGATCACTATCTCGAGTGATTAGTGAGACGATAACATCTTATATTCTTGAAACCGAGATGTGTGAGTTGTATCTTGCGAATCGGTTGCACATTGATAATATGTAAACGCACCAGTAACTTGGTGTTATAAAACATATTGTTGTGTGTAATTCGGTGAGTGAGTGCAAGCGAGCATTGTATCAAAGTTTATCCGTTCCTTTTATCCAAAGTAGGATAAAAGCGATATCTTTGGGCCCCTCGATGGTTTAGTGATGACATACGTAAATGCTCGGCCGGGCTAGGGCTAATTTGATTTGTTCAATTAGTCTGTCGTCATAAATCGGAAATCGAGAATAGTACAAAGAGAATGATTGAAATCATATCTCATACGATATCTAGAATGGAGGAATATATGATCCCTTATCTAAGGACACGCGTATCTGATATGATCAGAGTTGACAGCGGCTTTGGAAAGCTACGATTGCAGATCAGGATCTGAAGTCATACGCAGAATAGTTGTTAGACTTATCCAAGTGGGAGACTGTTGGATTAGTGTCTAAGTCCATAACTATTTTGGTATGTACTTGACCCGATGGTGCATGGTCCTTTTGGGTTGCCTTCACCAAAGCAACTTGATTGGAGAAATGAATAAAGAGAGAGAGGATAATATGATTTATTAATATGTTATAAGAATAATATATTAAAGGAGAAATCATATTTGTTTAATTAATATTGGTCAATAATTAATTAAGAATTAGTTTTGTGATCAAATGTAATTAATTAAACTAGAGGGGCTGATTTGTAATTATGTGATAGTTACAAAATAAGGTAAGGATTATCTTATTTATATGGTGGACGAATTTAAGGTTGGAAAGCCTTAGAATTCGAGTATGATAAGGATTCAAGGATTATCTTATTGGTTGCTTAATGGATAATCAACTAGATAAGGATAATGACTGAAACCCTATCTCTACACCTATATAAACACCCCTAGGGTCATGAATTCGTGTATCCCTTCCCAAGAGGTCCTAGATACGAATTCTAACCTCTCACCTCTCTCTTTATACCTTCTCCATTTTCTCTTGGTGTTTGTAAGCGATTAGAGGAGTGACACTTGTGACTCTAAGCCTTCCAAAGCCAATTCAAGGAGGAATTGAGATTGTTATTGCTACATAACAATCAAGGTATGTTCTTAAACCTAATTATATGTTAATGTCAATTTCCATATGTTAGAATTAGGGTTTATAGTCTTGGATTCAAAGCATGTACAATAGAGAAACCTAGATCCAAGCATTAGGGTTTGTATGAGCACATAGGATGTCTTATGACCAAAACCCATCAGTTAAAGGACTGTATACAAAGGTATCAGAATTTGATTCTTAAAGAATGTATTGGACACTAGCTTAAAGGTTATCAAGTAGATTTGGGCCATATGGCCATGAATCAACACATACATCCAATTTGTTGTATATCCATGTATCTACATGTGCATCTTGCAATCAGTTGTTGTATATCCATACTGATTTCTATGCCCTAATTAAATGGATTGCAATTTACCCTAGCTAAGGGTAGCATAAGCCTGTAAAGTGTAAATTTGACGGTCATGATTTTGCTGTTATCGGTCAATTACCTGAGGTTCTGCAATGTATTAAGGTCCCATTATATCTTTATCAGTGTCATCGATCTATTCTCGAGTGTTCTGGGGGTTAATTTGAATTTGGTTGACATTATAAATCTAATTAGATTCTTAAGACTGCTTTCAAGAAGGAAACAGTTGGGCCTGTCATAAGGGAGCAATATGTTGAAAAGGTTAGTCACTGATTCAAACATTCTTTCTCCTTTCACTCTACTTACTACTTACAAAAACAACTTTGAATTTCACTAAACTATACTTGTATACATTGGGTTAACGTTCGAGTCAAGATTGAAGAAGAAAAAGAGAAACTTAAAGCTACAACAAGAATGAGTAACATTAAGTCATTAACATTTGTATATTTTCATGTTTACAGTTAATATTCATTCTTAATTGCTAATTTTATATTTTGTATTACTTTAGGGAAGAGGAGCTTCAATTACAAAACAAAAAAAAAAGAAAAAAAAAAGAAAAAAAAAGTGGAAAATCAAAGCTAACCCATAGCTATCTTTTCTGAAAATATTGAAAACGAGGAAGAAGAAGAAGGGAGGATAGTAAGCATATGTTTAGTTTATTTTTCATTATTTTAAGTTCATTTAATCAAATACTTCTCTTTTTTATACTCATTAACTTAAATTAATGTTCTTATGTATATAGAAAAACAAGAATCAAATATGTTTGGTTGTAGAGGCTTTGGCAAAGATCCGACAGTAGAAACTACCTTTTTGCCTAATAGGTTTGATTGAAAACTCTCAAATAATAAAATAAAAACATTTATAAATCTTATATTTTTTGCTGATTAATTATCACCATCATAGTGTGAAGCATACCTGAGGCAGAGGAGCAAGCTGAACGTGAAAAAATAATTTAATATTATAAAACTTTATCTTATATTTTATTAATTAAAAAAAAACTATATCCTTTAATTTCTAAATCATATATGTTAATTACATTACAGATAAGGCTCTTGAAATCACTTATAGTTACAGATAAGGCTCTTGACATCGAAGAGTCATGCAGGTAATTCTTAATTTCTTATGTTCTAAATATGGCTAAATTACCATTTTACCCCATCCTTGTGGTTTTTAAGTTAGAAAAGGGGATACAATTGGTGAGTTTTTACAAGCGGTTTAGCAATAACTTGCACTTGAATTTAGAGAAATATGAATAGCTTCAGTTGAAAATCTTTCATATGTGAAAGAGGATCTTATTATTCCACGTGTATGTAATAATGTAACATTCATCATTTTAAAAAAACTTAATCCAAATTAAAAAAATTAAGATGATACTAATAGATAACTATTGTCTATTTTCAGCAACACCATTTCTATGAGGTGATTGTGAACAAAGCTAGGGGAAAAAGTGGGTTAACATATTTTTCATTTTTTATATATTATAATAATAATAATAATAATAATAATAATAATAATAATAATAATAATTATTATTATTATTATTAGTATTATTATTATTATTAATTGGAGTATGAAGTTTGCACTTCTTACAATTTCTTACAATTATTAATGTTTTTTTTTCTTTTTCTTTTTTTATTTTTAATATCTATAGCTTTTCCACTTTGATATGCATGAAAATGTGCGAACGATTGTCGATGCAACCATAGAAAAAGATGAGGTAATAATGTTTAATTTGATTATCTAAATTTATAATGTAGCCAAAATCCACTTTGTAGAAAATTTAGTTATAGAAAACAAAAAATTAATATAGGGATTAATATATAGTAAATTTTATATATTGGCTTTGTTTGATTGATAGTCATATGTTGGTAAAGTTGTTGAGAGTGCACTCCTAGAAAAAGGTTAATAGAGTACGGTTGAAATTGTGAATATAATACGTACATAGAGGGCGTATTAGTAGAGGGGTGTATTAGATTACATGCATAATAGAGTACGGCTATTTGACCGTATTATATTATCCTATCTATTTTACACATACAATCATCTAATACGCCATATATACACATCTAATCCACCAATAAACAACCGTACTTGATGTCTCACATCCCCTTTGCATTCCAGAGCCTTATTAAAACAGACAATTCCATTCCAATTCCACTCCAGCCTTATTAAACAGTCAATTCCAGTCCATGGATGCTCTGGAACACATGGATCACCATTCCAACTGAAACAAACTTTTCAATTTCTGCAAAGCTACTATATGATTACCATGGATCAATCTCTACAAAATACAAACCTACTATATGATTCCATTCCAGCCATAAGAAGTGGGACATCACTGATCATGTTTTCATTTTCAGAAATAGAAAAAAAAAATTACAATGAACTTAGTTCATTGAACAGAAATTTTTTTGTTAATGTCACATCTCTAACCTCTCTTTCCCCTTTGTCACCTCTAACCTCTCTTTCCCCTTTGTGGTTGATTCATTGTACGCCTACAAAAATTAACAAGAAAACTTAGGATTCAAAATCTCAAATAACTTTTAATGAAGAAAACTCAAATTATAAGACCTTGGCCGTTAACAACTTCATCTATAGCAATGCAAGGATGAAAACTTCTCCAGAACATAAAAAATATGAGCAAATACAACATGAAATACAATTTATGTACCTTACAAAAAGGCTTCACTTTATCACCAAAAGTTCTCATCCATGTTTTAACACGTTCCTCCAATTCCTCACTAGAAAATGGTTTTTTGTCCTTCCAAATGTTCTACAAACAAATTAAGATAAAAAATTTGTTATTTAACAAAGGTGAGCCTTTTTTACAATAAACAAAAATGAAAAAAAAAATATATCTAACAATATACTTACTTTCGAAAATCCATGATGTTGAAAAAGTACAAACTCATGCATCCAGTTCATAACGTAGTAACCACACTCCCAATCGGACAATTGTTGATTACACTAAAACAATTATATATGTATGAGAGTTTTCTTTTCGGATATATATATATATATATATATATATATATATATATTAGTTAATAAGATTAATTACCTTGGGGAAAATCCAAGTCATTGGACACAAACGTGATTTGTTGGTTTTTGTTTTTTTAAACCTTGTAACAGCCCTAAAACAAAAATAAACAACAATGATTTGTTAAAATTTATAAAAAGATATATCATTTCGAATACTAAAATAATAAATTTCTTATTTATTCACATGTTCAACTATTGTGTAGTCTTTCAATGTCTTTGTCCCTCTGGCAGAATCCAAAATGTAGCTTTTATATTGATGAGGACAAATCACTATCAACATCCAATGTCTCCTAATAAAGATTAAACAAATTAAACATAAACAACTTTTGATTAAAAATATCATAACAGTAAAGACATTTAGAATATCCTACCTTTCCCAATATGGTGCAAGAAAAAATTGTTTTTCCTCATGAAAATTCATCACATCAACAAGATCATTGATGACATGATCTGTTTCACCCCTATCATCGTATTCACATCTCGTAGACGTGATACATTGTGGGTTTATAAAACCACATTTGTTATCCATTCTTGATACAAGCATGAGTGAATGTAGCATATGGAAAACACAATATATATTATAATGGTAAAATAATATGAAACATTAATACTGTAAATGTTAAAGTACTTACATTTGATACCAGAGAATACAACTAATATCAAGTTGTTCTTTTTTCAACATCTCCATAATGGCCACTGAGCTAATCACTGTTTCAACACTCGCAGCATTGAAGATCCCGGGTTCAGACACAATAAGAAATGACTCCGGAATGTTGTGGCTCTTAAACAGTTTCTTTGGCATCATGTGTTCTTGCATCGTTTTGTATAACTTTTCCTTTTGTACCTACATTAAGAAACCAAATGATTATCATGAAAATTGTATTGCTATGAAAATAATAACAATGAGAGAGAGAGAGAGAGAGAGTGAGAGAGACGTAGGTTTGTGCCATATACCCTATTTTCTGCTTCATCCCCCATCATCTCTTTAGATGCTTCCAGTTTCCTTCTTTTCTTTCTAGGAAGATTTTTCTGCCACCAAAAAATAGTAAAAAATACAGTATATTTTTGTGGGCTAAATGCTAAAAATAGCATCCAACTTTCATATATTTTCATTGTAACTTTTTATCTTATTAAGGCATGTTAATATATAATATCTTTCAAAGAAATCAAAAGAAGAAAATTATGCACCTCATACTCTTGCTTTTTCTTTGCTTTCTTCTTATGCTCTTTAGCTTCTTCAACATTCACGTTTTCTTTCTCTTTTTCCTGAAGTCCAAATTAAAAGATTATATTTTAATATATGTAGTTTTTTTATGGGAAATTAACTATAAATGAAAACAATACCTTTCCAAAATTGTAAGTTAGAGTGACTACCTGGTCATGAAGAATAGGAGCAGCTTGGGTCAACATTGGTAATGGTTCAATGAGAGGTCTTTTATCTTTTTGCATAATTGAAATCGAGTTTAGTAAATAGTCAATGATGCATGTGATTAGATATTATTTAAGTTTATGCTCTTTTCAAAACAAATTCAATGCTTTATGTACTCTTGATTCATATATTAACTCAAATAATGTTTGTTAATATGTATACCTTTCTTCAAGATATTTCGTTTTGGGTTTATCAACACTTCTTTTTCTGGTTTTTCTTTCTACCATACGGATCCTCTTGCTCTTGGTTGTTTGCACTAGTACCTCATCCATATGTGATGGTAAATTTCCAATGTATAACCTCAGACCTGTTGATAAGAAAATGATCATAGAAAATAATGAGGGTAAATATATGTTAAAGATTATGACTTAATCTAACTAATGAGAAGATGATGAAATAATAATCGATACCCCACAGCTAAAGGCACTTGAAGTGAAATTGAATCAGTCACATATGCAAAACTTGCTACACAATTATCTTTAGAACACACACACACATACATTTGAAACATGATACATTTAAAGATGCCACATGGGTTTAGAGCCAATTGGGTGTTATCTTACTTGAAGTTTGTTGTGATGATGAAGTACCAGAAACCTTAGCTAATGAGCGATATTGGACTTTATAATAACACGATCAACAACAAAAAATGGGAATTGAAGAGCTTTGCCTCGTGGTGTCTCCATGAACATTGAATCACCATAATTAACCATGTCCTGAATCCATACAATACAGGTTGCTACTATTATGTCTGAAACTAAATTACCAAATTACCTCTTTAACATGGAGTTCCACAAAGAAAAATGGACAAACTTGATCTGATCTCTCTCTTCTTCTTTTAGATGAATGGTGAACTTGTGATTCTTCTTCCCTAGGAAATGCTGATACTGTAGCTCTCACAGCTATAAGCATATATCTTGGTCAACATTTGATGAAAAATCTTGCTTTTCTAAATATTGGTTGCTATATAATTAAGCAATAAATGTGAACTTTAACAAAATTATAATGTGAAATCGAATAATTATAGAGGAGGATGTGTGATCATTGAGTGGTTTTGAAATATTCTTAATATGAAATTTGCACTCAATGGATGCCTGATTATAGGAGCATTAGATGGGGCTAATGTTGAAATCAGAAAGGAAGTTGGAGAGGACAATTTTTTCTTTTTGGAGCAACAGCAGATGAAGTTCAAAACAGAGTCGATGATGCTTTCTAGGGTTATCAACCAGAAATATGAAGTAATATTTCGTACACAGAGAAGACATTGTCATAAACACAACATTAATCAACGAATAAATCCATTACACCCAAAGTCCGAGCGTACTTGTAAACAACGTGAAAGAAGGAGGTAGAAGCGGCTGTAGGCCGGAGTAGGAGACTTCGTCAGTCTCGTCGACTAGAGACCGAAGGTGGAGGCGTCGTCAACCGGAGGCGGAGGCGTCGTTGGCCAGAGGCGGAGGCATCGTCGACCGAAGGCTAAGGTTTCGTATAAACAACTCTAAGTAATAGAGCGAAAATGGCGATGAATTTGTTTGGTCATATGTCGGAAGCGTCTCAAAGGGAGAAAGCGTCTCAAAAATGAATTATGTTGCGGGGCTTAATCAAATGAACTTATTTAATTTTTTATTTCAAGTATTTTTACTCATAAAAATATCCTATTGAATTTAATTGCCTCATGGTATATTCTTCCCTTGTACTCGATATGGAATAAAAGTTCATTAATTGTATTTAAAAATAATCTATAGAGTACAGTGTAAAATATAAACTACAAAAGATTCATCCTTTTTACAATAATAATCTAAAATTTCTTATTCTAATTAAATTGGAAAAGTTATTTTGTTTATGACCTTTGGTTATAACAAGCTTTCATTATGTTTAATACAGAAAATAAAACAAAAAATTTTAAAGAAAAATCATTTGAATGTAATCTGTTCATTCCATTTGACCATTTTTATGGTCCAAACTTTGCATGTAATCTATTGAAACTTGAACCTCATCTGCTTATTGGTTTTTGATGTTTGGTAATTTTTTAAAATAAACCGATAACAAACCTAAAATAATAAAAAATAAAAATAAAAAAGTCACTTGTGTTACCCCACAATTCTTCTTACAAAAAAGGATGAAAATACAGAAAATAAAAACGATAAAATACAGAAAATAGTCAAGTGGCTGAATCAATAAACTGAACAAGAACTGCTACAATTATTATTATTAAAAATTGAGGGGTAATATTGACCTTTTGGCACAGTTAGTCTACAAAACTGCAGCTTTCTAAAGGATGAGGGCAAAATGGGAATTTGATTATTGCTTGAACTGGTTGCCCAAACCTTGGGTCATTCCTAAGCTCTGTCCAAGATCGCCCATTTGTGCTTTCATGGCCTATAAAGGGGCAAAATGGTCAAATTAAAAATATATTACCCCAAGGGTAAAATTGTACTTTTATATCATCATACAAACCTGTACACTTTTTTTATGCACATCTCTATATGCTTCTGTTATGTACCTCTCTTTTCTTTTCTATGACAAGAATGGAATCAGTCATTCCATTCCCCTATCAATTCCATTCCTTTGAGAATAATGGTTTTATATCATCATACAAACCTATACACTTGATTCAGTAATTGTAGTTTTTCCACTTAATTTGTCTTTAAGGAGTGTCTTCAGTTGTTTGAGTGCAAATTTTGTGATTGGTTTTGCTTCTCTTGCTCCTTGGTAGTCAACAACAGGTTTTCCAGGGACAAATACTTTAATAGTTGAAAACAGGATCAAAGTTGTAGCAGCAAGGATAAAGGCATTAAAGTTGGATTTCTAACTAAAGAGGAAGTTGATCATGTTTATGTATTAGTCGTACTTAATCAAAATGGGGGCGTATTTTTTTAGTTATTTGATTTTGTTTCTAGTACATCTCATTGACCGTATTAGATGTTGCAATTAACCGTATTAGATGCTGCAATTGTGTGTATTATATTTATTTATCCCTTTATAATACGGGTTTTTTTACAACCGTATTAGATGGGGGTGTACTCTATTACCAATTTTCCAGTAGTGGTGACTGGTATGAGAAGAACAAGCACATTGCGCAAAAAGGACGATAAATGGGATACAAGCGAACCAATTATGCACTGTATTTGTTGGCTGTTTATCACATCATACTTTTCTGTTGTAACACTTTTATAAAAGGAAGTTTATTTTTTTCATTTATTTTACCTCTAATAGTGGATTATTTGGTGCAACTAAAATAGATTTACAAAAATACCATGGATTTTTTTTTTCATTTATTTATGCATCCCTTTAAATGCAAAAATAGCAATGTACTTTTGTAAATGTCTAATTAGCATATTACAACATCATATTTTTCTGTAGGGGTGAGCAAAATCCAAACCGATAAAAGAAAAACCGCAATAATCCACAACCGAAAAACCGAAACTGATGGTGCGGATTTTATGTTTTTGAAAAACCGAATTTATTGCTGCGGTGCGGTTTATATCTAGAAACCGGACCACCAAAACCGAATCGCACCGCAAGCTTATTAAGAATAAAATAAATCACTAATTTATATTATACAATTATACATATTATTTAAAAAACTAATAAATTCTAATTTATACATATATTATATATTGAACTTTACGATAATTAGTAATTAGTTATTAAGTTTAATGTTTGAGTTTGTCACTTTGTGTTTATAACTTATGATTATGTGTAAAGTGTAAACACTATGTGGACTATAACTTGCAAGTAACTTCTAAGTACAAATTAAATAAAAAAAATGAGCTTGGGAATATATGTTGCAAATGAAATAATCAAGTAAACAACATAAAAAACTGAAAGTTACAGATTCTAAATGTGTGGAAACAAAATGGCATCATATCATACAATAATAAATCTTCACATGAGCACCACGGTTAAAAAAATCATACCGGTGAACATAAAAAACCGCACCATATGTTTGACTCGGTTTAAAACCGACACCGAACCGGTACAAACCGAAACCGCAATAAAAAACCGCAAAACCGAACCACTGAAAAACTGCACCCAACGGTTTCTAGAATTCAAAAACCGCACCTTGCGGTTTGCAGTTCGGACCTAAAACCGCACCATGCTCATCCCTACTTTTCTGTTATAAGAGTTTTATAACAGAAAATCTAATTTTTTTCATTTTTTTACTTACAGAGTAAAAAGGATAATGTACATTTTTTATTGTCTTATAAGTATATTATAGTAAATTATACTTAGATGATAGAAAATCCAAAAAAAAAATGTCTACTGCATAATAATCTCATGGTATATTTCTTGTTATTCATTTTAACCAATATGGTTATTTATTTATCAACCTTTTATATAGTAATGTTATCATTATATTATCAAATTATCATGTAAAATTTTACCATTTGAAGTGAGCAATTTTGTAACCGTGGTTCTCACAGGTTATAATTAACCTTATATATATATATATATATATATATATATATATATATATATATATATATATATATATATATATATATATATATATATATATATATATATATATATATATGTGTGTGTGTGTGTGTGTTATACAATTGGTGGTGTTGTGGTTACATATTTGTATAGTTTTTATAGCAGAATATGAACAAAATTGTAAAACCAAACAAGTATTTTCTAGTTAACGTTGAAAATGAAACAAAAATCCAAATCCAAAAAGCTTCCACATAGGACCAGGAAATCTAGTTACTCTATCACATGGATAGGTTGGTACTCCTTACAATTTACCAGAACTCTCGTAACAATAGTTCTTCAAAAGAGTAATCAATTTGACAATTACCTTCATTGTCAATAATCATAGAACCTAGCTTTGTTACCCCAAGTGAAAGAAAAATACAATATACCTTCACACCAGTCCATAACTAGTTTTGGCTTTTCTCTATTCAATTCCAAAAACTCCACCCTTTTTGCATCAGGAGTCATGATTCTTCTTATTCCATCTTCATACAAAAACTCGTGTTTTTCATTAAAATCCTAGATCATCGAACAAAAGCATACGTTATTCATGCTGAGGTGCAAAAATCCAAACAAAGGTCTTGAGCTCTTGAAAAATATATTTATGGGCTCAATTTAAGCTAATGTGAGCAATTTAAATTGCACAATACATCAAGGAAACAGGAAAGTGAGCCACCATGCTTCAAGAATGTGATACACAAAAAAAATTAAAAATGACAATTTGATATGAGAATACCTTCGTAATGATCAACTTGAGATTCTCCAGTTTTGGACAATATTTGAGAATTTGGATCAGTTCATCGACAGTGAAGGCATCCATAGCTGTTTTAAGCACCGCAGTCTTCAAATTAGGTAGAGCCAAATCACATGCACCATCAATGCGCTATAATAATGACAGCAAGTAAGTGATACAATGAGCATGTAGGTACTTGATTAAGAGTATATATAAATACAAAGTTTGGAAAGATCAAGAAATGTATATAAACTGAGCCATGCCCTCCATCTGTCCAATAAAATTTGTTAACATATCTCAGTTCTTGGAATACTCAAGGTAAAAGTACATATTTCAGCCCTTATAAGCTACAGATTTTGATGTACAATATTCCACAACTTTCTTTGGGTATTTCTACATTAAGTAAAAAAGAAACACCCATATAGTTTTTTTTTACTATATTAAGCTATGATCTCATTAAGAAAATACAGAAACAATCTTCAAATTTTTAACCGAAATGAAGAATTGTGCATAAAGAGAATAAGCATCTACCTTACACAGGAAGTAAAGGTTCTTCCAAAAAGGTTTGACATGAGAATTTCCATGAAACAGCACAGGTACGCTGTTGCCCTCGAATGTAGCCTCAATCATAGCTTGCTTTAAGGAGTCTAGACGTTCAAAGAACAAATTACATGCTATATCACCCTCTAAATTCAAAACCACCAATTTTGGGCAAGAAATTTTAATGTCACAACAGCGCCTGTCTTCACAGTAAATATTCAGCGTTTTCAGCTTCGGACATGAAATACAAAGAAGACCAAGTTTGCTTAGTACACAGTCCGACAAAGTCAGATCCTCAAGCAAATGGCAGCTTGCGAGAAAATCTTTTACAAAATTAGCATCTTGCAATAAGTCAATATTAGACAACGTAAGAACCCTAAGTGCCGGAAATCCCTTAAACTTGGGCAAACTTACACAACAATAGCCCAAATCTAGCGTTAATATCTCTAAGGAACTGTAAGTTACCAGACAATGGGGTAACTCGAAAGCTTCAGCATTCTCCTTAGTGCAAATCGTCAAGTCAAGTTGTTTGACGTTTCTCGTGAGTGCCATATGAATCCACCGCAAGACTGTGGACATATTGTAATAACCATCACAACGTAGACGAAAACTATCCAAATCTACGGTTTTGCTTGCTAAAACCCAATACACAAACTCTTTGAATTTATTTTTTTTGAATTTTTCTCCGTCCTGTATGTCTACAGATGGAACTGCAGTCCACAAATTCCTCCATCGTCTGGACAAAATGCTGCTTCGAATTGCTGTTTTTGTGGATTTAAGACGCGAAAGAATCAAAACAAGAATAGCATCCGGCATGTTGCTGATCAAATCGACCCCATCTTCGCATTTTAATGCCTTTGGTGGCTTGGATTTCTTCATGCGTTGATGTGAATCAGAAAGTATTCAGAAGAGTTCAATTGATATCTGGTCGTAGGTGAAAGGGTGTAGGTTTTGCATTGAAATCTCTCTCATAAATTCAAGAACTATAAAAACTCTTTGGTGTTGGAATTTTTATATTTTTGGTAGGATGTTAATGTGCCAAACGATTTTGGTAAGATAAATTTGAATGATATTACGTTTATAAAAAGTCTTTGCTGTTAGGATTTGTATTATTGGTAGGATGTTGAATGCGCCAAACGTTTTGGTAAGATAAATTTAAATGATACTATCATTTTAAGAGATTTTTACATCTATTTCTCTCTAGAATCATTTATGTTTGGTTTGTCAAAGATTTGGAATATTTATAGCAATTTACATAAATGTTCATATCTTAAAATCAGTTTTCTGTAAATAAAATATTTTTAAAATCATGTTTGTTTTGAAAAAGATTTGAAATATATGTCTTTAAATAAAACTTTTTTTTAAAAAATCATTATACTATATACAGTTGCCACACTCTACTTTGTAGAATGACAATTTCCTGCAAAATGTAATTTTTACGCCTAAACTTTGACCATTGATATTTTTCACCCTCTACTTTTTAAAATACCAATTTCCACCCCTATTTTTTTTTATAACTTTTACCCCCTTCAAATTAAAACTTTCTAAAATATCACTTTCATCCCCTCTATTTTTAAAATTTTTGTGTTTCCACGGTAGTATGTATAAATATTTTTATATAAATAATTATAATGTGTGCAACACGCGAATATTTGTGTAGTTTGAATATATAACAAAAAATCAAATTAGAGATATTATTGATATTAATTGAGCTAAAATATGAAAAGATGAATTTACTTTAATATTTTTGTGTATTAGGGAGGATGGAGTCAAGGTTGGGTTCACTGACGGTTTAAGGTGGAACCGTCGGGTCATGGCCCCCTTCAATGGCGGTTTCTAATTGTTTAGGGAGCTGGGAGCTCTTGTGCAGTTTGTCGAACCTGCTTCAACATTTGCTCATCATGCATTGACGACATGGAAAAGAGATAAGATGTACCTTCATTGGAATCTTCCCCATCGTCGATTGCTTCGACCTTATCAAAGAGTTCTCCAAATCTCTTTTGAAGTTCCGATTGAGAATTAAAAAGAGAGAGAGAGAGAGAGAGAGAGAGAGAGAGAGAGTAACGAGAGCCATAATCCCAAGTCTCTGGAGCGTTTGTTTTTTGTGGGTCATTATCTTTAATAGCCTGTAACAGCCCAAATTTGTAGAAATTTTTTCATTAATAATTAGAAATATCAACCACATTTGTTTTCCAACAATCCCATTACATTACCACATTGTTTAAACGATCAGAGTATCCAAATAATAAGTGCAGAAATATTGGAGAGTGCATGTTGCACCATCAAGCCGGGCTCTTTCCTTTAGAACCAGAAGAACTTGAAACACCCACCAAAACTATAAGTGCACGCTTAGTGAGTTTCCCAAAAACACATGAAACACATAATTACATAATGTCATGCACACATATATAAGTTTGCCATGGACTCCCTCCATGGTCTTCATTTGGAATGCCATAGGCTACCCCATGGTCTTGCATCATAGAGCCATAGGCTCCTACATGGTATTGCCAAGTGTCATGGCCTCACCCCAAGGTCTTCACATAAATCTACACATATGTCAATTAGAAAACCATTGCATACTCAATTACTAAAGATCTCATATCAAATAATCGGTCAACCTTTCGATGTACTCAGTCTGCTGAACACAATAGATGCTTGCATATCAGTCCAAAACCTCACACTGAACAATGGTACAAATAACCCTAAATTAGGATTATAACTCACACTAGTCAAAGAGTCCAAAAACCTAAGCCTAAGTCCTTCCATGGTGGCCCAAAAGCCTTTCCTTTACTAATAGCCCTATGATCCAAGATAAAAGCTATTAATGGTGCATATGTCCCAATACGGCCCAACCAATACAACTATAGCCCAAGTCAGAATAACAGACCACAAACTCTAAATGGGACCAGGCTCAAAACTAAATAAGGCCCAAAAAGCTTCCAAACCCACACGGAGCCCAAATCCATCTAGGGTGCGTATACCCATCATATAACTCTAGTATGGTTAGCATACTGAGCCCCTTAGTTGTACACGCACCGTACACGATATTACGTCCGACGTATAAGTAGAATATGCACCAACGACCATTAAGTGCTTAATACTTGGGATTTCAATGTCAAACTTCAGATCCGAGTCCATTAAGATGTCCTAAGGCATAAAGTTGGCAAATTTATGGCCTTGCATGCCATAAGGGACCTAAAACATCATTCTTCCCACTAAGGCCTCATTTAAGACCTCAAACTCAAGCATGGTCTCAATACAACCTTCAAGATGGCACCTTTATGCATCAAGCATGCTCAAAGATCTTAGATCTAATAATCCTATTCTCTGGAGTTGCTCAACTCACAAGAGAGGGTACAAATAACCAAAAAGGGACTTCATAGAAAAACCCTAACTCAAACTAACAAAAAAGATGACAAGGTTATGACTTTTTAACTCCAGAAGTTCCTCAAGATGAATTAGATGCAAGATCTAGAAGCTTAATGACACCCAAGACTTGATCAGTCCCTTCTCTTTCTTGAATGCTCTCTAAAATGGCCACCAAAACACTCTTTAAGCTCAAGGATCAAGATCTCATGAAAATGTGGGGTTAAGGGACGAAATGAGGCTGTGGAGGAAGATTAGGGTTTGGTTCAAATGATATAAGGTTGTTTAAATAAGGTGCAAGTCAAGAAACTAGGGTTTTAGCCACCTGCCACGTATGCCCTACATACCTGCTCATGCGCCCAGCATACGAGCCTCATGCACCTGATGTGCAATACTCACGTACGCTAAGCATGCCATATTTACGCCCAACATACGGAAGGGCCTTTTTTTGCCAAAATGAAAGTACTTGAACGTAGACAATGGAATACTTGGATTGCAGTGTTACAACTCTCCCCCACTTAAACTAGACTTTGTCCTTGAATTCTACTGTTGTGAATAGAACCGGGTAATGCTCTCGCATCTTGCCCTCCGACTCGAAAGTCCACTCAGATTCCTTCCGGTGTTACCAATGCACCTCACTAGCTTCACCACCTTGTAACAAAGAGATTTTGTTTTTCTATCCAAAATTGCAATGGGCTTCTCCGTATAATTTAGGCTCCTATCCACCTGAATATCATCTAGAGAAATAACTACCACCTTGTCTGCAACACGCTTCCGGAGTTAAGACATGTGGAAGGTGTTATGGATCTTACGGAGCTCGTCCAGAAGATCCAACCGATAAGCAACCCTGCCAACTCGGGCAGAAATCCTGAATGACCAATGAATCAGGACCCTAACTTTCCCTTCTTCTGAAATGAATGATACCCTTCCAAGGTGACACCTTCAGCAACACAAAATATCCCATTTGGAACTCGAGATCTGATCGAATCGGTCAACATAGCTTTTCTATCGGCTATACGCAACCCTCAGTCTATCACGTACTTGTTGAATCTATCCAGTAGTGTAACACCTGGTTCCTGGAACGTATTTTAAATTAAACATTTTGGCATTTTGGCCTGGGACTCGGCGAGTTGGTGGTCCAACTCGTCGAGTAAAAGCGAATCGGACCCGGGAGTCAAGTGGTTGACTCGGCGAGTTAGAAATCGGACTCGGCAAGTCCATGCAGTCTGGACAAAAACCATAATATGAGGGTTTACACCCTATATAAACACATTAACTTGGCCTCCATTGTCCCTAACACTCTCCTAGAGCTGCTTATCGAAACCTTAGCCGTATATGTGTGTGTTAAGGCTATTGTGATGTTTTTGTTGACTTGTGAAGCTTGGAAGGAAGAAGAGGAGCATGAGTATTCGACTTGGGGCTTGTGGATCTAGAAATCTCATTCCATTTTCAGCTTAATCAAGGTAAAATGCCCATGCTTTGGTCTTTCATTTGGTTGTTCATCTTTAGAATGTGGATCTTGGGTGCATTTAGGGCTTTTGAAGCCATTTTCGGATTTAAGGAGTGTTATGTGGACTTTAGCTTCAGATCTGGGCCTTAAGAGGGGTCTCACGGCATAAAGGTGCCAACTTTAGGGCAGTGAGATCACCATGCACATTGTAAGACACTTTATATGGATTTTTGAGCTAAAAACCCCATGCATGTGCATCAAGTTTGGAATTTACGTATAAAATGGACATTAGGAGGCCAGATCTATGGTTTTGGTGTGTTAGACCTCATTCAAATCGATAGTATGGAGTTGGTCGAGAGTGGACTCGGCGAGTTGTTCTTGGCACTCGACGAGTCGGTGACCATTGTGCACCAAACCCTTCCTATGAATGGGTAAATGATATGAAGGAAGTTGTTTGTGGGTTTTGACGCGAAAAGGGACCTGGAAGCCTTGGGACTCGGTGAGTGGTATGAGCAGACTCGGCGAGTCCATAACAATCTCCCACTCTTTGAAGATGGACTCGACGAGTTGTTCATACAACTCGACGAGTCATAGACCAGACAACTTCTTAAGTTGGAGATGAACTCTATGAGTTCAAGAAGGAACTCAGCGAGTCGGATGAATATGGTCCCGATGTTATGACTGAATGAGAACCCGTCGAGTTTCGCTAGACTCAACAAGTGGATCCGGGGTTTTGTGTGGGTTTAGTGAAGCAGGGACTCGACGAGTTGGTAGGCCAACTCGGCAAGTCAGGTCAACTGAATGTTGAGTTTGACCAGTGTTGACTTTGATTGAACTTGGACCGAACCTGTTTAGGGTTGTATGTGATGTGTGTTAACTTGAAGGTTGTCATGTAGGGATTGAGGAGTTGTAGGGAGTCGAATTGTGCGCCGAGGATAGTTCAGACACTGCACGACATTGAGGTGAGTTACCTTCCAGTAGGGGTGGGTCTAAGGCCACAATATCGGACCACCAAAAAGGGGTATTTTTAAGATAATGCTCTTTGTGATAATTATATTGGTAT